CACTTTGGTGACAACCATCCATCTTAACTCATAAAATTTCTCAAACCGGAATATTATAATAAATTGCCCATAATTAAATATCATGTCATAAATTAATATGAGGTACTAACCAATATGTTTCTCTTTAGATCGCTCATCATTAATCGTTGTATTCATGTCTCAATTCTTTTTTTACTTTTAAAATTAAGTAATTAATTTAACGTCTACCAACATTTAATAAATAATATGTAGATCATAAAAAAAAAATTATCATATAAATCACTAGGAATTAAAATTAGAATTATAAAAACATCCTCTACAAATTATAGCAATTCAATCAAAGTTACATCAACATAAGAAAATAATTTAGAAGGGTAAAGTCTACATCTATTTATCAACATGACCCCATGTTACTAACACGAGTCATCCACAAAAGAGAATAAATTTGATCATAAAATTTTTTTAACATAAACATCACAATTGTTTAAACAAATTTTATTTTTATTATTATAATAATCACTTTAATATATATATAAAATAAAGTAGGTAGATTGTTTGTCTTGACCTTTTCGTGGCTCAGATTCTTTTGATCCGATGGTCCTAATTAGTCTTTCATTCTTTGTGTAATTATAAGACTCTCAACTCTCACATAATTCTCTCTTTCTCTCTCTCTCATACTATTATTTTTTTTATTTCTTCGGTGTTATTTTTTTTATTATTTACTCCATAAAACAATTGAAACTATATCTTATAAAATTATTTATTCTATAAAACTAATTCAAAGTTTATATATATATAACAACATGTAATTTGCCACTTACATTTTAATTTGTAAATAACACTCAATATAATTAAAAAAAATAGCACATTGATTATAAACACTAAATAATATTCAACCTGAAATGAACCTTAGATTGTAAATCGATATATAATTTTATATAAAATTGACATTTAATTTTTTTTAATTTATATTAAACTTTGTCGAATTAATATCAAATTATGTTTTATCGTTATCAAATTAATATTAAAATTCATTTAATCAATTTTTTGGGTACTAAATTAAATTTATTTGATTTTATTAAATTTTTAATTTTTTTGGTATTAAATTTAAAGAAGGGCAATTGTAAAAATAATAATAAAATTTTGGATGAAATTATCAATTTTCATTAGGGACATTGACAGAAGGGAGACAAATGGATCTATAGGCAATGAATTCAAACTTCAATGGGTCTCCATGTTATTTATAAAATGTTGGAAGCTGTCCATGTAATATTTGTCAAAACTCAAGGAATGCCCATGATTTTTTTCCCGTTTTTTAATTAAAATTTAATTTATTATTATTGGTTAGGAGGGTTTTTTGGTAACCAAGAAAAAAAATGTATGTGAGTGTTTTTCTGTGTATATTTATATGAGGGAAATTGGACATTTAGTGATTAAATTTATAATAATATTGTGTCAGTTAGGGTTGAATAGATATAATAGTGATAAATTCATAAATTTTATAAATGAGTAAGATTTGATTGATTTTATTTATCGCTTAAAGATTATTAGTTTAATTGTATTGTATTAGCATTTTTTTTTGCTTGAGGTATTTATTACATGGGGATAGGGTGGATTAGAAATATAATGGTCGAGTTTTTAATTATGTTGTGTTATTGGATTGAGTGGTAATAAAAGTGATAAATTCATGAGTTTTATAAATGAGTAAGATTTTATTTATTTCTTAAAAATTATAACTTTTAATGGGATTATGTTAGCATTTTTTTTCCTAGAGAAATTTGTATATATTGTTTTGGTATTGTTTTTGAAAGTTTTTATATATTTTTATGACAATGTTATTAATATGAAAGATATAATCGACAATATATTTTGAGTAATTTTAAAAAAGAATTGATATGAATATTTTTGAGTCATTCCTTTTAAATTTGAGTAATTATTTAAGATTTTATTTGTTTGTTATATAGTGTTTTCAGAAACGAGTAATGACATGTATATCTATATAATAAAGTAGATAGATTTTTTTATCTTTAACTCTTCGCAGATCAAATCGCTTGACGATTATTAATCTGACAGTTCTTATGCCATCTAACTCTNTCAAATCGCTTGACGATTATTGATCTGACAGTTCTTATGCCAACTTTTTTCAAGACTCATATTGTTCATCTAACTCTCTTTATATCTATCTTATACTTTCTCTCTCTCTATCTCTCTCACACACACACATATTATTATCTTATTTTTTTATTATTTACTCCATAAAATACATGAAACTACATGTTATGCAATATTTATTCCATAAAATTAATTCAAAATTTTATATATCTGGCAACATATATTTTGCCACTTGGTTCTTATTTTGTAAATAAAACTTAATGTAAATAAAAAATAGCACTTCACAATTTGAGGACTTTTTTATCTGAGTTTCACATCGTTGCCTGAAATTAGGTCTTAATTGATTTAGGGCCTAAATTCTTCTAAAATTCTCATTGATAATGGTTTTTATATAAATTACATTTTTAGTTTTTTTTTTAATGTTTGATGTATTTGTTATAATTTTGGTATTAAATTTTTTTGAACTATCAATTTTTCAAAATGTTTTGTCAGTTTTTTAATTTACTTTCACTTATTTTCATGTGAACTAGAGATTTTTGAGTTTAACAAGCAGAGGTGAGCGATTCTCTTAAAAAAAAGTGGGGGTAAACAATTGGTTTGGTTTAAGTATGTGTGTTTGAATCTTGACCAAAAAAAAATTTACCAAATGATATAGTAAAAGAGAATACGCTATGGTGTGAAAAAATATGTATTTAAATTTTATGGGTTAAAATACAAATTTTTAATTTTATATACAATAAAAAAATTATAATTTAAGATCAATTTCATGTTGGTTTAATCAACAACAAATAATATTCAACACAAAATGAACCTTAAATTGTAAATTAATATATATTTTTATCAAAAATTGAGATTTAATTTTGTCCAATTTAAATTCAACTTAGTCGAATTAATATCAAATTGATTTTTATTGTTATCAAATTAATATTAAAATTCATTTAATCAATTTTTTTGGGGTATTAAATTATATCAATTTTTTGGGTATTAAATCAAATCTTATATTATTTTATTAAATTTTTAATTTTTTTGGGTACTAAAATTGGAGAAAGGCAAGTATAAAAATAAAAAAAAAATTTGGGGATAAAGCCATCACTTTTCGTTAGCAATATTGAAGGAAGAGAGGCATAGGAGGCTTTTGTGTAATAAATTTTAAATTCCAGGGATCTCCGTGTTATTTAAAAAATATTTGGGGGGTGTCCACATAATGTTGTCAAAACTTAGGGTAAATCTGTATTTTTTACCCTATTTTTTAATTAGATATTAATTTATTATTATTTTATCATAAAAACTTGAATTATTATATTTCTAATAAAAACAATTATTGGTTAGGAAGGTTTGTTGGTAGTCAAAAAATAAATGTGTGAGAGTATGTTTTTGTTTATATTTATATGTGGAGGATTGAAAATTTGGTAATTAAATTTATAATTTTATTGTGTCAGTTGGGGTTGAATGGAGATAGTGGTGATACATTTATGAGTTTTATAAATGAGTAAGATTTGATTAATTTTTTTATCACTTAAAAATTGTGAATTTAATTGCATTATGTTAGTATTTTTTTTTTTTTGGTTTGAGATATTGATTACTTGAGGATAAGGTGGATTGAAAATATGGCGATTGTGTTTATAATTATATTATGTTATTGAATTGAGTGGTGGTAAAAGTGATAAATTCATGAGTCTTATAAATGAGCAAAATTTTGTTTGTTACTTAAAGATTATAAATTTCAATAGATTACGTTAGTATTTGTTTTTTCTTTTTCAGAAACATTTGTATATGTAGTATTATTTTGAAGAGTTTTATATATTTTTTCGACAGTTCTATTAATATGAAAAATATATACGGCAATATGTTTCAATTCATTTTAAAAGAAGAATTGATATGAAAATTTTTAGACCATTCTTTTTAAATTTGAACAAAATGTATATGAATTTTTTATTTATTATATAACACATTTAGTCACAGGTATTGACTAATATATATATATTTGACATTGGTGAGAGCAACCGCCGTTAGTTCTTGACTTTGAAAAGAACTTCTTTAAGTTTCATTAAAAAAAAGCCGTGGCCATCCAAGCTTTCACCTTTTTTTTTTATTTTTTGTAACATACTCGAATGTATTTAACGGTGACCATCGACGGCCACTGTTTTGAGAAAGACAGTGCCGCCAACTTCTCAAAATATTAATTACAAAAACAATAATTTTAATCAAAATAACAGTAACCTTGATCCACCCAAGTGACGGCGATGAGAATTTGTTGACGCGTCGTCACGAAAATATTTTTAGATCCCAAATTATACAAATAAAAAAAATAATTATAAAATAAAATGGATTCTAAATTTGTATACGATATGTTCTGATACCACATGTAAAAAATTTTAATGATTGATATATAAAATTTAGAACACCTAAATTACGAGATTTGGATCATATAAATTTAGAACATACCTCTATGACTATGCTACTCGATTTCCGGATTTCTTTTGTGAAAGGATAAGGTTTTTCTCTCTTTTTTCAAAGTAATAGGCGGCTCTCAATAGAACAGGCCAATTTAGGGTTATGAAATGAAGAGGGGATCTGGTCTGCTATTTATAATGAAATTTAATGGGTTTTTCTATTACGAGCCATAATTAAATTAAGACATACATTTAACTGCCTCAACCACATCAATTAAAAAATGTACATAAGACTATCAAAATAGATCACTTAATAATATTTTACTCATTTCATTGAACCATAAATTTAGCTCGTTTTTTACAAATTAAAAAATTAATTATTAATTAATAGAAGTTCAATATATGAAAAATCGAAAAGAAAAGAGAATAGCGAAACTGAAACAGATTTATATTCTGAAGCTTGCACATGCTGAGGCAGTATATGCAGAGTCAAATCAAGCAGACAAGCTTGAAGGAATGAGCCCAACGAACAGAACTGGCTTGCTTGGTCTCTTTGGTAATAAGGTAGTTTCAATAGAGTACTATACCGAAAAAATCAATGAACTGACCCCAAAATTGGAAGCTGAACAGAAAGTCACGCTCAGAAAGAAGCAGCAGGGTTCAGCTCTGGTCTTCTTCACCGGCAGGGTTACTGTTGCTTCTGCGGCTGTGAGTCTACATGCCTGAATGGTGGACACATGGACAGTCGTGGATGCTCCTGAACCCCGACAGTTAATATGGCCTAATCTTCCTAAGAATTTTTATGAGAGGCAGATACGACCGTATGTCTTTGTGACAATAGCTATTTACATGATCCCAATCGGGTTAATCTCTGCTTTTTACAACTCTGCCGAATCTGAGGAAGCTTCTCCCATTTCTAAAGGCAGTGATTAAGACACTGTTGGAAGCTTACCTCCCTCAGATTGCACTTAATGTGTTTCTGGCTTTGTTGCTGAAATTTCTTTTGTTTCTATCAAAGGCTGAGGGCATTCCTTCGGAGAGCCATGCAATAAGAGCCGCTTCAGGGAAGTACTTATATTTCCGCGTCTCGAACGTATTTATCAGAGTTACAATTGGTGGAACTCTTTTCAGTACATTAAAGACAATTCAGAAGGATCCAAATTCTATTGTTTCCTTACTGCGACTAGCCTCCCAGGCAATGCAACTTTCTACTTGACATTTGTGGCTCTGAAGTAAGATTTCAGTTTTCTTTATTTGCTTTCCTTTCCGTCAGCATTATTTTTCTCAAGAGAACTTTACAATTTTTCGTTCTACTACTTACGATTTTTCTTTCATATGAATTAATAATCTTAGGAATTTTATGCTACTACTTTCTGACATAAACATAGATAGAGAATGAAAATTTTCAATATCCATTGTCAGAAACTATTTTATGACACAGATTTTATGCTGTTGTTAGTCAGAACAAAACATAATAATAACTTGAAAACGTAAATGAGTAAGGTAAATTTGTTATTCTTTTTCTGTTTTTAAAATTCCTAGCTACAAAGTATGTTGCAAAGTTATGGTCAGCTTGTAATTTTGATCTGTTCTACATCAACTCCAATTACATCAGCTTGTATCTGGAGGTTAAGCAACATGACTTCTATCATGTTTTGTTTGAAAACTTTGGACAACTATTTCTGCATATAGATTCAGTTTTTAAGTAAGAAAAGAAAGGTACCACCTCAAAGAATAAGAAAAGTTATCAACTGTGGAACACTTGAAATTGAAATGTTTTTGATGTATCTATAAAAAATATGAAACAGATTTATATTCTTGTATGTTTAGACTTTGTTCCTGAGGGTAACGGATCTTTTTCTGTCTTCCAAGTAATAAAGTTTTTGTTTGGGGGTAAATAATCGGAGAAAACTTAACATTTTTGATAAGCAAATAATAATAAAGCTCAACTTTGTTTGGGTTATCTGCTTAGATATTTGTATTTTTAGTTTTTGATCTTTGAGTTTGTAAGTTTTGTAAAAACAAATATAAATTTGACTCAAAAACAATTGAAATTAAGAAAAATAGCTACTAAAATTTTGGTCAAAGCAACGATTATTAGAACTATGAGGTGAGCAAAATAATTATGGATGTTGTAATCTAAAATTAGTGCAAATAGTAACAGGATCATTAGAATTATAACTATTTAAATGGACTCAAAAAATATATAAACATTTAATCTATATAAACCAAATAAATTGATTTAGAGTCAGCTGTCCTGCGAGTTTAAGAGGTGTGTGATCACTGCCTTAAAACAGCTGAGCCTCCTCATGTGAGGGTACTGACGGACACCAATGACTCCAAGATTTAACTTAAACACTCGCAACTGCACCTCCTCAATGGTCACGTCCACTGGAAGGTTGGGCTAAACCTAATTCAAATTGAGTTGCCCGAAAACAAAGATAATAGAGGATAGTTGTCTAGGTATATTTATATAGATGTGACTGAACTCGAAGAATATGGATATAAAAGTTAATGGAGTAAAATGTGGGATAGGGAGAAGTCTACTGGCGTAGACTAGTATAGCCGAGCAAAGGTGAAAAACATGTAAAGGAATATACCAGANGGAGTAAAATGTGGGATAGGGAGAAGTCTACTGGCGTAGACTAGTATAGCCGAGCAAAGGTGNGGGGTAAATAATCGGAGAAAACTTAACATTTTTGATAAGCAAATAATAATAAAGCTTAACTTTGTTTGCGTTATCTGCTTAGATATTTGTATTTTTAGTTTTTGATCTTTGAGTTTGTAAGTTTTGTAAAAACAAATATAGATTTGACTCAAAAACAATTGAAATTAAGAAAAATAGCTACTAAAATTTTGGCCAAAGCAATGATTATTAGAACTATGAGGTGAGCAAAATAATTATGGATGTTGTAATCTAAAATTAGTACAAATAGTAACAGGATCATTAGAATTATAACTATTTAAATGGACTCAAAAAATATATAAACATGTAATCTATATAAACCAAATAAATTGATTTAGAGTCAGCTGGCCTGCGAGTTTAAGAGGTATGTGATCACCGCCTTAAAACAGCTGAGCCTCCTCATGTGAGGGTACTGATGGACACCAACGACTCCAAGATTTAACTTAGACACTCGCAACTGCACCTCCTCAATGGTCACGTCCACTGGAAGGTTGAACTAAACCTAATTCAAATCGAGTTGTCCGAAAACAAAGATAATAGAGGATAGTTGTCTAGGTATATTTATATAGATGTGACTGAACTCGAAGAATATGGATATAAAAGTTAATGAAATATAATGTGGGATAGGGAGAAGTCTACTGGCGTAGACTAGTATAGCCGAGCAAAGGTGAAAAACATGTAAAGGAATATACCAGAAGGTTGAATTCGTTTTTTTTTTTTCCAAAATGGTTTATCAAAGCCACTTAGCCATTGGTTTAGTAACCCACACACATAAGCCTTTACAACTTCTGACCGTTTGGCCATAAAACTATTTTTAAAATGATTAATTTTATTCTTTAATATAGACAATAAATTGGACAAAAATCTGTAACTGCAAATTCAAAAATTTAAACTCAATTAAAGTGAAAATTCAATGAAAAGTTTTAAAAACTTAATTTTATTATTACAAGCTTTTATTTATCTGTTAGCCATTGGTACGACATTTGAGTGTTTTTTTTTAACCCTAGAGAAACATCAAATTCAGTATTATGAGTTTTCTGTTTGCATTTGCATTTTCAAAATACAATACAAACAAAAGTGTTTTGCCTTTGTGGTGCTAGTAGGATGAGTTAACTGATATTCTTGATTTTATGGAACTTAGGTTCTTTGTTGGCTATGGTCTTGAGCTGTCCCGGATAGTTCCTTTGATAATATTCCACATCAAGAGGAAGTACCTTTGCAAAACTGAAGCTGAATTGAAAGAAGCTTGGGCTCCTGGAAATCTTGAATTTGGAACTAGAATTCCTGGTGACATGCTGGTAGTCACAATTGTCTTTTGCTACTCTGTTATAGTTCCAATAATTATTCCATTTGGTTTCGTATACTTTGGCCTCGGATGGCTTACTCTCCGGAATCAGGTGATGCCTAGTAACTTATTTTCGTATACTTATGGAGTTCCAATTCCAATTTCAAGGAACTATTGCGAAAATAGTTCATTCACTAGTCTTAACATTGGCCTTTAAATTGGTGTTGGCATGGTACTGCAAAATTCATATCGATGTGTATGTGTTGTTGAAATAAGATAGAATGTAACCACCGACTACATTCAAAATTTCGTTCCGATTTATAATTTCGATTAGTTCGGNGGTGTTGAAATAAGATAGAAAGTAACCACCGACTACATTCAAAATTTCGTTCCGATTTATAATTTCGATTAGTTCGGAAATGGAAGCGTTTCAAAAATATTTTGAAAATAAAAAAGAAACAAAGGAAAAATTCAAAAACTTGTTTCCGAAACAATGACCGAAACATTTTGAAACACCTCTAAATATTTCTGAGCTCCTCGAAAATCAAATCTTTTTATCTTTAGTTCTTCTCGCTCCAAATTTTCCACTTTTTGGTTTCTTCTTGTAGTTGTTCCCAATGAAATTATAATCCTTGCCCGGACATTTGTTTTAGCCTACAATGACATGATAACTCATGGAAGTTGTTTCAGATCAAAGTTGTTAAATGTGTGTANCAAAAATCAAATCTTTTTATCTTTAGTTCTTCTCACTCCAAATTTTCCACTTTTTGGTTTCTTCTTGTAGTTGTTCCCAATGAAATTATAATCCTTGCCCCGGACATTTGTTTTAGCCTGCAATGACATGATAACTCATGGAAGTTGTTTCAGATCAAAGTTGTTAAATGTGTGTAACACCTTAAGCTTATGAAAAAACAAATATTTACCTTTTCCTTTAGCTGCCCCTGATTCAATTTACCATTTTTGAAATTTTCTTCTAACATTTGTTACCCTTTTAAACACAGGTAATCAAAGTGTATTTTCCATCGTATGAGAGCTATGGAAGGATGTGGCCTCACATTCACACGCACGTCTTAGCTTCCTTACTCCTATTTTAAGTCACCATGTTCGGTTACTTTGGCGTGAAGAAATTCTACTACGCTCCATTTCTGATTCCCCTTCCGATACTGTCCTTGATCTTCGCCTTTGTAGAAAGAAATTCTATCGTTTTTTCCAAGCAATAGCTCTTGAAGTAGCTTATCGTGAATTGAAGGAAATTCCAAACATGGAACTTGTCTTCAGATCTTTCATTCCACCAAGCTTGAGCGCTGAGAAGTCTGATGATGATCAGTTTGAAGAAGCTTTGTCTCAAGTTTCAAGGACAGGTTCATTTGTTTGATGCACATATGTGAAACACTGCTGAATTTTTCAGTGTTGACAGTTTGCATTAGGAACCATGTCTGGAATATATTGTGTGTTTTGGTAATTGTGTGAGAATGTTTGTATCTACTCCTGTTTGATGCAAAGGGTGATATAAGATTCATCGTTTACTACATCTCATTTTGTATAAGCTCATCTGTGGAAATGGATTCATTAATTTATTTCCAGTTTCAGCTAGGATTCCTTGGTTCACACTATATATCGAGTTGGCTTAGTCGTGTTTGACTCTACACCTTTCATTCTGAGATTACCATGAGTTGTTTGACTCATTTTTCGTGATGTTGGCACACCTTTTGTGCATTTTTATATAGCGTTAATCTCTTGTTATGTGCAAACTTATTCTTCTACCCAACACTTGTTCCGTATTGCTTGATATTGTTCGATGGTGCCCTATAAATTGCGAATGTAATGATCTTAAACCATGATCTAATAGTCTTATATTATTGTATGCTTGGCAAATGTGGAAACAAAAACATTGTCTTCGTAGGGTGGGGTTGGGGGTGTTGGAGAAAATGCTTTCTTTTCTAAAACAAGAACTATGAAAGTTGGTAGGGAAGCACAAGTTCAGTTTTATTAGGTGCAGACTCACCATGGTTTTTTGTATTCTTCAAGTCCCTTTCTCAACTCTAGACTAACAGACAGAATTCCAGACTTGGCCGGCCAATCCAAAGTTAACCCGAAATATTCAGTATTTTGTTAGAGATTTCTAATACTATGGTTTGGTTTGAACCAAAATTTTCAACATGATATAAATTCAGGCAATACTCAATTCCAAGTCTTGGATTCTCGAGAACCAATTTGAATTCAATCCAAATGTGTAGATTAATATCTAATCTGAGTTTGAATCGAATTAAACTAAAATTTTAGCCCAAGTTGTGTAACCCAAAAATCAAAATCAAGTTAACCAAGATTTAAATCCAAATAAGCTTGAATTCTAGCTCGACTTGGATAAAATCAAAATGAATTTGAATTGAACCCTATTTTAACTAGAGTTGTTTGACTCAAGTCAACTTGAATTAAAAAAATTAAACACGAGGAATACTGGGATTGAATGGTTCTGGTTGAATTTGGTATACAAATTTTGGATTGAACGATTTGAAATTTTTTTATATTACTAATAGAGTTTGGATTGGTTGTTTATCTTCACATTTTGGTATATTACAAAATATATTTTGTATTGTACTATATCCTAGGGATTCGAAAGTACAGGTATCATGAAAAAAAAAGTTGTGATTTTAATGAAAACCCCCAAGGATTGATTACATTGTTTGTTGATTCTATCTCAATGTTAGATATTGATAATACATACATGGAAGAAAAAAAAATGAAATGATTAGTGTTAATCGATTTGGTGAATATTACGATTGATTTAAAAGTATGAATCTGGATACAAGTGAGTGATGAAGGAGATTCCAAAGTTTGTTGATTTGAGCCCAAGAATGGGGACTTAAAATAAATATCTTGGAGATATAACTTTGGTGGAATCTAATAGATCTTCCCAAAACTTTTAAACCTATGAGAATTCTTTTCTTGTGGCTAGTTTTGATTAGTGTATTGGCAGATTATATCAGAGTGCACAACAAACTATTTGAGTAATAACTACACTGGTTGAGGTAAGGAGTATCATGTGGAATTGCAAATGGACGTACAACCTAAGAGTTGATTCTAGATATTTACTTATGTGGGAGTGTGTAATTGTGAATTGAAATTATTGTTAGATTCAAAGATTGTAAATTCCTTTTAGCTAGCAAGAGATAAAGTCATTAAGAATATTGTATCTATTTCAAGAATCGAGATACATTTTTCCATAATGTCATTACTAAGGTTTGTGTTATACCATGATGTTTGTATATGAAATATGAGTAACCCTATTACCTAAATTGCATTTGATTTATTTTGATATGCTTATGCATAAGCTACGTGTAAGAAGCAAATNGTGGATTATATCAGAGTGCGCAACAAACTATTTGAGTAATAACTACACTGGTTGAGGTAAGGAGTATCATGTGGAATTGCAAATGGACGTACAACCTAAGAGTTGATTCTAGAATATTTGCTTATGTGGGAGTGTGTAATTGTGAATTGAAATTATTGTTAGATTCAAAGATTTTAAATTCCTTTTAGCTAGTAAGAGATAAAATCATTAAGAATATTGTATCTATTTCAAGAATCGAGATAAATTTTTCCATAATGTCATTACTAAGGTTTGTGTTATACCATGATGTTTGTATATGAAATATGAGTAACCCTATTACCTAAATTGCATTTGATTTATTTTGATATGCTTATGCATAAGCTACGTGTAAGAAGCAAATATGAGGTTATTGAAATGATTGGTGAAACTCAAAAGAGAAGTGATATTTGATTGAGTAGACAATTAAGTATTATGATCTAGTAGTAATGCATGACAACAATATTAGTTGAAGCAATCGTATATAATTATTGAGAATAAGGGTGATAAATGAATTCTACTAAAGGAAGGTAATTTTTGGGACTTTAAGTAACTACAATGAGGTTATAAGTTGAAGGAATGGATTTAAAATTTAGTCTATGATATGTTCTTTTGATCTTGGATTTGATATATAAAGGATGAATAGAAGTGGAAACATCGGGGCCAAATGAGAATTAGATTGACTAACTCGATGATTAAGTTTCGAGGATGAAACTTTCTTTTAAGTGGTTGATTTGTAAGAATTCGAATTAAAATTAAATAAGTATAATATTATCTTAAGACTTATCCTAATACGAATAAAATGATAGTAGAAAATTAGAATAAATGTTAAAATATTGGTTTTGAAATTTAAGTTTCAAGCGTATTTGACTTTCGGAGTAAATTGAGTTTTGGATGTGTTTAAGGTTGATAAGGATAAATAAGGAAAAACATTAAATTTTTTAGATCAAAATAATATTATCATTGAACCTGCGAGATCCGAAAAACTTGGAATAGCCGTTTAGCACATATAGCGGTTCGGAGAAATAAAATAGTAATTTTAGTGTTTCAAGTGTAAATTTACTTTAGTTTTGAGATAAATCATAAAAATAAATATTTTTAGGTTAAAATAACATTAAAAATGAGTCCGAAACATCGAAAAACCTTAGGGTAGTCATATGTATCAAATTAGAGATTTTTAGTGGCAAAATCATAATTTTAGAGATAACCCAAATTTCAGCCCATGAACAGTAATTTCGGGACTGCTGTGTTTAAAACACAAATTTCAGCCCATTTTCTCCCATTCTTTTATTCCACTCTCACCCCAAACCTCTTAGAACTCTAGGAGAAGATAAAGGAAAAAAGAAAAGAAAGAAGAAAGCCTTTAAAGCTTGGGTTTTACTTGGAATTCTTGATTTTTAGGTAGGAGTTTTTTTCTCACTCTTATTCATTGAGGTTAAGGCTTATTTATATATATATATATGTTTTAACTCTAAATTTTAGATGCATGTTATGAAATCATGGTTTCTTGATGTCCTTGCAAATCTTATCATGTTTTGAATGAAGTTATGGTTTATAGCCATGAAATCTTTGTTGTAATCTCAAAACCCTTGTTTCTTTCAAGAAATAGAGATTTTTCTTCTTGATATTCCTTGTGATTTCAAAACTCTAGTGCTTCGTTTGAACAATAAAAATATATGTTTGATGATCTCTTGCTTATTTTTCTTGAATTTGCTTCGTTAGAAAAATCCCTATACAATTGGGGGTTTTTGATTTACTTGTAATTTGAGAAATTGGTTAGTATTGTATCTCTTGTGTGAATGTTTGGATGACCATGGGTGA